CACCACCTTCTTCCTGTTCTCCTCCTCCTCCTCTTCTTCTTCTCTTGTTCTTGTTCTTGTTCTATTCTATTCTATTCTATTCTATTCCATTTCTTATTCTATTCTATTCCATTCCATTCCACTCCACTCCACTCCATTCCATTCCATTCCATTCCATTCCATTCTATTCTGTGTTCTATTAATTCTTTTAAATATTTTAATAACTCTATTTGAGAATACTACAGGTAGTCCTCGACTTACAACAGTTCATTTAGTGACTATTCTAAGTTACAGCGGCACTGAAAAAAGCGACTTATGCCCGTTTTTCACACTTACAATCCTTGCTGCATCCCCGTGGTCACAGGATCAAAATTCAGACACTTGGCAACTGGTTCATATTTATGACGGTCGCAGTGTTCCGGTGTCTCTTGATCCCTTTTATAATCTTCGGACAAGCAAAGTCTATGGCAGTGTTTCTCAACCTTGTCAACTTGATGTCTGGGCTTCAACTCCCAGAATTCCCCAGCCAGCGAATGGCTGGGGAATTCTGGGAGTTGAAGTCCAGACATCTTCAAGTTGACAAGGTTGAGAAACACTGTCCTAACCACTGCTGGGGAATTCTGGGAGTTGAAGTCCAGACATCTTCAAGTTGACAAGGTTGAGAAACACTGGTCTATGGGAAAGCCAGGCTTAGTTATCAACTGTATTACTAACTTCACAACTGCAGCGCTTCCCTTAACCACTCCGGCAAGAAAGGTCGTAAGATGGGACAAAACTCGCTTAACCAATGTCTCGCTTAGCAATGGAAATTTGGGGCTCCATTGTGGTCATAAGTTGAGAACTGCATGTAGCCGAAGGAAGGAATTCCAGGAAGGAATTGAGGCTGGGAGCCAGATTGGGAAGCTGCACAAACATCTGGAAAAATAAGGAACGTGCAGCCCTGTTGTGATGTGGTCAGGAAAACAACTTGAGTTCCGTTGGCACACTTTCTGGTGATGGTTCCTGGCGCACCAGGCTGAAGTTTGCGTTGGGCGACCCTTTCAGGAGGCAAACCATCTGCCCAGTTTCACCTCTGTCAGGTCCTCCTGTCAGCCGGGCTGAATCTGCTATTTTGAGCCATCGGCTCCGTTTATCCAAGGAGCCGATAGTGATGTTGCAGTGTTGCCAACCTTCAAAGATAATAAAACAAGGAGTAAGATGAGAGGTCGTAAAGTTGCTTACTTCATGGGACTAATGGAAAAGTTCCCGGAGAGAATTCATGGGAATTGAAAAGTTGTCATTTAAATGCTAATCATTACAACCGTACGGTGCAGTAACCATTCCTGTTGCAAAGGGTTGTTTAGAAAGCCCTCATGTTTATTAAATTCCTTGCGGGGGGGGGGGGCGGAATATGTCGAGTCAGCAAGTCTTCAGGAAGATATGAAATCTCTCTCCGTTCCCAGCATTTCATTCTGCCAACTAAGCTCTTGCAGGTCTTCTGATCTTGACTGGCCTTGGGTGGGCAGGGCTGTTTGGGGAGTGGGGACCTGTACAGGAGGAAAACTTCCTGCCAAGAAGATATCCAAATCTGATCAAAGGGTGAGGAAATTCGCTCTCTTTGGTCCTGCTGAAAGAGCTAAAGCAACCTTTCTGAGCCAACTCCAGCTCCACCAGCTGAGCAGTTTCGATTCTTGCCAAGCTGATGGTGCAAAAGCCAACAGCAATAGAACTTTTTTTAAACTTAGCGGATAAGGGAAATGCTGTGGACATGGTTTACTTAGACTTCAGTAAGGCATTTGACAAAGTAGACCGCAGTCTACTTCTGGATAAGATAGAAAAATGTAGAATAGACAGCATCAAATGGATTCACAACTGGCTGACCAACTGCACTAAACATGTAGTCCTCAATAGAATTACATTAACATGGAGGAAAGCATACAGTGGGGTACACCATGGTGCTGTCTTAGCCCCAGTACTTTTCAACATCTTCTTAAATGATCTAGAAGAGGAGATAGAAGAGGTAGTCATCAAATTTGCAGACGACATCAAGCTGGGTGGCAGAGTCAACACTGCTGAAGTTGTGGGTGCTCCATCACTGGAGGTTTTCAATACACTGGTCAGCCATTTGTCTGCGATGGCATAGGGTGTCCTATCCAAGCAGGGGGTTGGACTAGAAAACCTCTGAGGTACCTTCCAGCCATAAAATTCTAGGTTCCCTAAAGCAGACTCTTTGCACAATTGGAAATGTTTCTCTCCATCTGGGCTCAGTTAGTATTGAGGGATTAATTGCCAACTGACTCTGCTTCTGTCTTTTTTTTTTTTGGTTTAAAATATTTTTATTTCCTTTTTCATAACACACGCTCACATGTATACTATACATAGCCCATATCATATAGTATTAAGTAATAATTACATCAGTTTCTCTTGTCAACAATGCCCCCCAAAAANCTTCTCTGCACACTTCATGATGTCTCAGCATATTTTTTGTATTGTGGTGACCAAGTTCCAAGCATGATCTCACCTCATACTGGATGAGTCTCTCTCTCATTCTCTCTGTCTCTGTCTCTCTGTCTCTCTGTCTCTCTCTCTCTCTCTGTCTCTCCCCTTTTGCAAGACAGCTGTTTTCACAGGAATCTATAAATAAGGCCATGACTGAAAAATAATTGAGAAGGTCATTCATTCTTTTCAGACAGGTCTTGAGTTCCCTGCTGTTCTTAGGGAACAAAATGGATATTTGGGGTTTAAATATCAAGAGGGCATCCAGGGCTTCACTGGCATTGTGCAAACTGTGGCCATCATTTTACCCTTGGTGTCTTCCCCCTACCACCCACTGCCACAAACACTCCACAAGCAATAGGGTTTTAATAAATTTCTCCAGCCTGGATCTTTCTTGGTGGTCTCAAAGTCAGTCAACCTCTCTTCTTCAAGGGGGGCATCTTGGTGGAAATGTTCTTCCCTGGCCATTTCTAGGGTGTTGTGGCCCGCCAGCGGCCAGCAGAGCTGGACAGTGAGGAGGTTGGGGAGGAACATGGGCCAGTCCTGGGGGCTGAGGAAATCGCAGATAAGGGCTCTGCGTCAGAGGCAGAGAAGGATCTAGACAGCTGTGAGGCAGAAGAACAGCTGGAGCCTGTTCCCAGTATGCGCATGTGCAGAGCTGGCAGAAGACAGGAAAAACTAAGAAAGCAGGATTGACTTGGGAGTAAAGCCACACCTTGGAAGTGATTGGTCCCCCCTTCCCAGAGGAAACAAAAGAGGAATGAATGGGGAGGGGGATTTTGCAGGAAACAATTCATTCGTTCGTTCGTTTCAAGAGTGGAAAGTACTGTATGTGACTATAAGAGACTCTGTGCCAAGTTTTGCCTTGCCCTGCACTTGGAAACTAGTTATCTGGCAGCTCTCCAAGGGAGATAAGGTTCGTGTGGATAAACATTCCTCTGAAAGACTGATTGCTAAGCCTTGCTGACTGTGAATGAAAGGAATTCACAGTGGTGTAAATAAAAGGGGTTTTGCCAGGACCAAGACTCTGCTGCTTACTTTTTAAGGGAGCCTGGGTCAGAACAGGTGTTTCCTTGGATTCCCAATCTAGCCTCCAGCTCTGGTAGTCTCCCAAATCCTAAGGAGGACGGTCCCTATCTTGGGGTTGGTAATGGTTACTCAGCTGTTGCCCTTGACTGCAGCACAAGGGCACTGCCTCCCTCTACACCCTGAGAGCCTGTGTAGTGGCTGAGAAGGCATTTGGCAAGGCTGACAGGTTATGAAGACTGGCATTAGGAGTTTCTGTAGGACTACAGTGTGACAATTCTGCAGGCCCCAAATCCTGGTTGTGCGAGAAAGGATCTGTCAGACCTGCCCCAGTCTGCCTCCTAGGAAAGTAAAACTCTCGACTCCCATTTGGTTGCGGTGACAATGCACTTTTACTAAGAGATGTTGATCACAGGAGAATCAGGCGGAATCTGAAGTTCCAATGCATGAATACACAAGTAACCCCTTGGTTCCCCTGAGCCCTCCCCCCATGGTCCCTCCATATACAACCAATCCGGCACTGCCAAGATGTTTTGGGGAATGTTTTGGGTGTTTAGGTTGATGAAATCTCACTCTCAGGGCAAATGGCCTTGAAGTTGCCAGCACAAATCGGATTCCAAAACGCTCTGATTTTCCTCAACCAACAGAAGAGAAGTTGCCTTTGGAAATTGTGGGATCTTCATCACTGGAAGCTTTCAAGAAGACTGGACTGTCCTCGGTCAGAAATGGTGTAGGGCACTGATGGAGAACCTTTTCAGCACCGAGTGCCCAAACCAGAATACATGTTTGTGTGTGCGTGCCAGAGTGCTGTAAACCCGAAGACCAGCTGGCTGGCACATGCATGCCTGTTTACTGGCTGTTTTTGACCATTTTTTGGGCCATTTTCAGGCTGTTTTTGGAAATGGCTCAGAAAATGGCCCGTAAAACAGCCTGTTTTTGGCTATTTTCCAGTGCTCCAGCACCCGCAACCAGAAACCAGAAGAGCAGCTGGCAATGGCATACATGCGTGCGATAGGTTCGCCATCACAGGTGTAGGGTCTCCTGCTTGGGCAAGGGGAGGGGTTGACTATAAGGTCCCTTCCAATTCTGTTAATCTGTTAAAAACTGCCAATTCCCCCTCCTAATTTCCCATCATAAAGGTATACAGCTTTATTGCCCATTTGTTCCCCTCTCCCTTCCCCGGTGGATAGCAGAATGCCAGCAAGACGCCAAGCCGAAGGGGGTGAATCTGACAGGGTCAAGATTTCAAATAACCTTACTTGGCAGTTACAACTCATTGCATTTTTTAATCCCACGCAGGTTACCCAAGAAGCCACAAGATGACCAAAGTAGCAAGAAGACGTTTGCTTTTGAGGAAAGCCATTCAGCAGCAGCCGCCACGGTGACTTTCCACATCTCTCCTCGCTTGTTGGTTGGCTTGGAGGTCTCCACTGCCCAGAGGCTGGGCTGAAGGTGCCGCTTCCCCCTCGGTGCTTCCCTTGCCGGACGGCTTCCTCTGCTTGACTCGCCATGGGAGGATGCTTCTCCAAACCCAAACCAGGTGAGCTTCTTTAAGCAAAGCTTCCTGGCTCCGTGGCCCAAACGTGGCCTCTTTTGTGCAGACCCGTGATTAAACTAGGTCAGGCATGCCGGAGGCCTTAGTGCCAAGGGAGCCAGTGGAGAATTTCAACGTGGCGGGATTGCTAAAGCGATTGGCTAATCCCCTGGAAACTTCATTTCATGCAAGCATAATTCTTTAATAGAAGATTAAGAACTCTTCCTGGAAAACCGTGGGGAGCAAAGCTGGGGGAGGGAGGGGTCTTTCTGGAAGAGCAGTCGGAGACCAAGTCTCTTGAGAGAGAGAGAGGCCAAAGCTGGGGGGAAGTAAAGCCCTTTTAAAGTTGGCACTTGGGCATCTATTAGGGCTGGATGTCAGTGCAAGAAAACCTTAGAATGAAGCAGGTGGCACTTCCCAAACACAGACAGCAAGTTTAGGCAAAGGAATTTCTCTGCAAATCTCTTGCACGTCGAGTGAACCAGAAAACGTGAGTTTTCAGAGTCCACTCCAATGGTGGGTTTGTACCGGTTTTACTACCGGTTCGCTTGTGCACGGCCTCTCTCTCTCTCTCTTGTGTGCACGCAACGCTTCTGCACATGCGCAGAAGTGTTTGGGCAGGCGGGTGGAGCCTCCCACCACTGCCACTATCAGTTTGGCCAAACCGGACTGAACTGGGAGCAATCCACCTCTGGTCCACTCAACTATTAAAGCCAGGCCCTGAATGAAGGGTCACCAACCTTCCACTTGTGTAGGGAGATTTTCTGTTGTCCAGGTAACGATTGTCCCAAAGGTGCTTTTTCAAAAGACAAGTGGACTTCCTTGTTTTTCCTTGAAGGCGTTTCACTTCTCATCCAAGAAGCTTCTTCTGTTCCACTTGAACTGCTCACTCTTCCCACTGTTGGTCCGGCTGACCAACTAATCTAGCCTTCAAACATAAGATATTTTTCTAGCATTCAGCTGGAACCTGTCTTCCTGTAGCTTAAATAACAGATAACAGAGTTGGAAGGGACTTTGTAGGTCTTTTTGTCTAACCCTACACCATTTCTGACCGACAGGAGTCCAGTCTCTTCTTGAAAGCCTCAAGTGATGAAGCTCCCACAACTTCTGAAGGCAACTTCTGTTCCACGGGTTGATTGTTCTCACTGTCAGAAAATTAATCCTTATTTCCAGGTTGAATCTCTCCTTGGTCAGTTTCCATCCATTNTGTCAGCGGTTGAGTGTTTTCACTGTCAGAAAATTCCTTCTTATTTCTAGGTTGAATCTCTCTCTGGTCAGTTTCCATCCATTATTCCTTGTCTGGCCTTCAGGGGCTTTGGAGAATAGCTTGGCTCCCTCCTCTCTGTGGCAGCTCCTCAAATAGTGGAAGATGCTCTCCTGTCTCCCCTGGTCCTTCTCTTCACTAGACCAGCCTTGCCCAGTTCCCACAACTGTTCATTGTAGGTTTTAGCCTCCAGTCCCGTCCCCCCCCCCAATCCTGGTAGCTCTTCTCTGCACTATTTCTAGAATCTCAACATCTTTTTTATAGTGTGGTGACCAAAACTGGATACAGAACTCTAGGTGTGGTCTTGCTAAGGCTTTTAGAGTGGTATTAGTACCTCCCTTGCTCTTGATTGTATCCCTCTATTAATGCAGTTTAGGATTGCATTGGCTTTTTTGGCTGCTGCCTCACACTGTTGGCTCATGCTTAATTGGTTGTCCTCTAATTTTTTATTATTTATCCACTAGCACTATTTAATTGGTTGTGCTCTAACACATCAAAGATACTCTCCTGTCCTTCTCACCTCTCTGCCTTTGTATTCTTTGCTCCTGTAGTGGAAGTGAAAATCGAGGTGGTGCTGCCAGAGAAGGAGCGCATCAAAGAGGAGACATCGCCCAACGGGAAGGCCAGCCCCATCGTCTACAAGGCCAATGGCACCTCGCGGCATTACCAGCTGGAGGAGCACCCGGTCGCCCCCAACCCCTACCAGAATGTGAAGGATGTGGTGGAGGCCTTCGTTTGCCACGTGAAGGACCTGGACATTGGACAGTCAGTGGGGGCCCAGGGCTTTTTCTTGGGTTTTAAAACTGTCTCTCAATCTCAGCCGCTTGGAGATATTCGGACTTCAATTCCCAGAATCCCCCAGCCAGCAGAGCTTCTGGGAGTTGAAGTCCACATATCTTTAAGTGGCTGAAAAACTGCTTTAATCAAAATGAGGTGGGGGAAGGCCTGCTCTCTGCAAACTCTGCCTGTCCCTCAAAAGATTGCTTCACTCTCCAAGAATGGCGTCTAATCAACGTCAAAAAGGATCCAAAACTCCAGACCCCTAAGAGTGGGAAAGCTACGCATTGTCATAATTCCACTTCTCTTCTGGGAACACCTACAAGATATTCCCCCTACAGCAACCCTGTGAGGAAGGTTTAGCTGGAGACGGGTTGAACCCCAGAAAGGGAACTCTGAGGCTGTGTCAGGAATCAAGCCGAGAGCCCCTTCCGCCCATCCCCCACCTCCACTTGACACAAGGATGACACTCGGGCATCACTTCCCTGGCGGGGCAGCGTTCTGAGTTAGGGCATTTTAACACATTTCACTTTTAAGTATGTTTTAACAGGTGAGTCAGGTTAATCAATGGCTTGACAGAGTTCCTGTAATATGCTGAAAATTGCAAGAGGGGTGAGGTAGGGTTCAGGCAACATATCATCCTTTGGGACCCTCTGAGGAACATGATAAACTGCCCTACTGTATGTACAGTAGGTGATGATTATTTTTTGTTGCTTGCAAGAAGCAAGCAACTAGAAGACACATTAAGGTGTCTTCCTTAAGGTCATATTAAGGTGTCCTTGGTGCTCTCTGAGTTTGGTTATTTTCTTGCAGATGTTTCATTCTCAAACTAGGTAATATCATCAGTGCTAGAAAGGAGTGGGATTTATGGTGGTAGTAGTAGTAGTAATAGTAATAGTGGTAGTAGTAGTAGTAGGACTGCAGAGTCCTTGGTGCTCTCTGAGCTGCATTGTTTTCTTGTAGAGATTTCATTATCCAACCAGGTAACATCATCAATGCTAGACTAGCTCTGATGATGTTACCTAGTTTGTTAACGAAACATCTTCAAGAAAACTAACCAATTTCAGAGAGCACCAAGACCCCACAGTTCAACCTTGTGGCAAATATTCTCTTCTATCCGTACAATGATTATTTCTGACCAATAAACTTGCACATTGTCATTCTGCGCATTAATATTTGCCTCTGCTTTGGATGCCTTGCTGGTCAAAACAGGATCCAGTTTTCGTGATTTGCAGGATATCCAGAGGGAAGTTTGCTGAGAGCTGGCCGGACAGTTCTGGCCTCTCGCTTAAGACCATTTCCTTCCATGTGGGTCCCATCATGGTAGTGGTGGGATTCAAAAGTTTTTACTACCGATTCTGTGGGTGTGGCTTGGTGGGCATGGCATGGTTTGGTGAGCGTGGCTTGGTGGGTATGGCAGAGGAAGGTTACTGTAAAATCCCCATTCCCTCCCGATCAGCTGGGACTTGGGAGGCAGAGAATAGATGGGGGCGGGGCCAGCCAGAGGTAGTATTTGCCAGTTATCTGAACTACTCAAAATTTCTGCTACTGATTCTCCAGAACTTGTTGGAACCTGCTGAATCCCACCTCTGCATGTTCTTGTTCTGCCGGGCTTCTGGCAAACTCAGGTCTGTGTGGAAAAGACATTTATGGCATTGCTCCTCTTTTATTTCCTCTGGGAGGGGCCATTCACCGTCCACCCGTGGCCTGACTCCCAGGTCGACCCCTGTCCTTTAGCTGTTCCCTTCTCCTGGCAGCTTTGTGCATGCGCACACTGGGAACAGGCTCCAGCTGTTCTTCTGCCCCACT